ACCAATCACAAAATCCCAAACACATCCTCATATCCTGCCCTAGATACCGGCTGGATCTAAGGTGCCTGCTAACTAATCTCTTGCTCTCAGCGGAGATTGAGTAAATTTGTCATTTGGAAGGTGTGACGGACGACGGAATGTGTGAGGAGCACATTGCTTAGGTCCAATGTGGAGGAATCTTCCGGTCTTCGGAGTTTTTATTGATTTTCTTGATTTTTCGTTTCTGTTTAAACAGCTGCACTTTTGGTAGCGATTCACGAGGTTGGAACAAGTTAGGCTGTAGGAAAAGTTACAGGGAACCCTGCCGGATCCGCCGGTCCTTGACCCAATGTGGAAAACATAGCTTTAGCTTAGGACCAAAAGTAAAAAAAAAATACTGCTCTAAATAGTCAATTAATAAAGGAGAAGTCGGATGCAAGCCCGAAATCGCTCCTTTGAATCAATGACCAACAATACTGGCGATATGAAAAGAATCACACGATAGACTCTTAATTATGCTTAAATAGAACAATTCTGTATGATAAATGCAGTCGAAATGCAGCTCCGGAAACGAGACGGAACATGTACAGGATTGGGGTCGATCGAAGAGACGTGATTGTTTCTCATCGAAGGCGTTACACTGTAACTGTACTTCCTGAAGGATAAATTGAAAACTCTAAGAATTAAACCAGAAAGCTTGGGGGGTTTTCACCGATAGGTTTCCTCCTATGTAAATATATAGATAGACTGATAGCCACCTGCATGGGCCTATAGGGTGCCAAATCAAGATAATGAATACAAATCAAAGTCTTTCTTAATATACCATTTTTATTCATTACAACAAAGTGGCATGCCGGTTTTGATACGAGGCATCAGGACAGCTCGTCCCATGACGTCGCACCTGAATTTGATTCTTGCCAGTTTGGAGTGAGATCTCATCTGGGACCAACTCAGCATCAACCTTTCTGGGCCGTTAGATGTGATAATGTTCACGGGTACATTCTATTAAAGCTTTGTCGTTTAGTGATAGATATGAGAGTGAGGTTTATGGGTCACGATGTATGAGATAACTGAGGTGTGGATGTATGAGTTCCTTACTATTGTTGTTGTACTAGTTAGGGTTGTCTTGTTTATATACAAAAGAGATTTCTCCATCTACAAGTGGGCCAGATCGCTTAGATCCGGCTAGCGGCTTTCGCCATCCTGTTCCTTCTCCCTCGCATGGCATCACGTGCTACACAACCACTGCTCACCATGAAGTCCGAGGATGAAAAGCGTTAGATTACAACACATTCGCCATCCAAAAAGCGACATGGTTTGAGGATTCTTCGAGTTTGGCGCTGAAACTCGCTAAAGTCGGAGACGCATTTAGAACTTGAGCAGCTTCGGATGAAGCATACATGTGTGGAGTTCGAGACGGATACCCGATGCGGTCTGGCGTTATTGAAGAACTGATGACCTATTTATTATTACTCTCTTAATTCCTCACATATTATGTATCATTTGTGCCGGCAAAGACGAATCCTTTACCTTCTAGTGGTCTCGCTGTGATCGCTCAGCCTGCTCTGTATGCCGGGGATAGCTGAGAAGAATCGCATCCGAATCAAAGTAGGCAGCAAACACATGCATATTTCCATTTGACGACTTCTCAACCATGCAGCACTCATCATTATCTTCTGAGTCCTCAACCTCTTTCTAACCACAGATTATGTCGCCTCGCCGACCGACAAAGGCGTCACCCCAATTGCAAACAGGAGCTTGCCTCATTATCACCGGCCATCACTCACTACAAATTTACGCCGCTATTTATATCCGCAAGGAAGAAATTATGTCATAATATACAAAGTTGGGGTTTTGGTTTATGTTGGGCTGTTGCTCTAATGGAGTTATACATGTTGAGAAGGAGAGACGGCTGAGATACGGAGCGAGAGGCCAAAGAGGTCTCTGAAGACAGTGCTGAGACTGATAGTTTCGACGAGTTTTCAACTTTGTATTTTTGTGGGCGCCAAGACCAAGATTTCGGCTAATTAGTCAGGAGGACTTCTTTTGTCGATGAGTCAACGACACTCCCCAGCGCCCTGGACGGCACAAAAGAAGTTGGGCTAAGCTACCTTACAGCAATCACGCTTTGTGAAAACTTTTCTGATATTTTGGCACGAACTCAGGGAAAGAGGCTAGAGAGGTATAGGATGAATTTTCAGAGGTACCCACAAGTCTGCAGCGCCCAGCAGGTTGGCCCCTCGAGCGTATCAGAATTTCGTTCCAATGTTGATATTAGGAGAGCTCCACATCCAGCTGGCTTTGCGATTTTTCCTGGCTACGATATACCCGCAAACGGCCATCGTTTTGTTGGCCCGAAATGAAAGATAATGAAGGGCAAAGGACTCCTCTTAGTGTATGATCGAATGAGGGCTTGTGAGGGGTGGTGCTGTCTATGGGGAGTTGTATGGGAGGCATAGGAGGGGATATACTACTGGCATAGGTATCCTTGGCCTATAGGCAGAGAGGACCTGCATGTCCTACATAGTCATAGACTTATACAGGACAATAAAATGAATTAATAATAATAATATGAGGATGCTTCCGACTACATTCACATTACCCATACCTACTCTGGGGTGATCACCCCTTACTATATTGGTCCTATCTTCTGATTAATGCCCTTTCACCCTTTAATATTAAATGACAGGTCATGATACTCTTCGTCTTGCTGGCCATCGTCAAGCTCAGAGTTATGGACAGCTTAAATCTTTGACACCCGATACGGCGGTTATGGATTGCATCAAGTCGGCCTCGACTGTTACAAAGAAAGGAGATGTAGATGAATATGCGGACCTCATGTGGTCCCGGTGTCTAGACCTCGCCTGGCTGGGACTGCAGGTTTTTTGAGACTTTTTCCCGCGCACGCAGTTTCCATTGCCACCATTTTTTTAGGGGTAGAAGGTTCCGTGGAAATGTTGGCCGAATTCTACGGGTCAACACTGAGCTGAATGGCTATTCATCACGGGCAATATATCAATGATCTTTCAAGGAGCACTGTACAATGTGTGGCGTGGGTCGGAGAGGAGCCCAATGTGCTAGATAATCATACACTCAAGTATTCCATAAACACATCACATCAATAGAAGGGCTGACCTTGCCTACTCGAGAGAGATTTGCGGAGAGGAGCAATCCTAGGAGTTACAGAAACAAACGGTAGAGCTTGCAGCATACCTAGAGTGGGCGAAGCCTTAGTCTGCCCTTGAGCAAAGTCGACAGTCTCACAAACTTATTATAGGAGATCCTTAAACTCGCAGAGCAGCTAAGTTATATCAATGCCATGATTCCGATCGTCAAACTAGGAGCTTCCATGGATCCCCTCTCTCCCTCTACAATTACCTGACAAGGGCCCGAAGTAGCCTTGCCGTCCAGATTCGGAGCGAGCACGATGAGCTAAATTCGGATTTGCTCCGAAGAATAGTTTCAGGAGTCTACGATCTATGCGGTGCGTGTGGCTACCAATCTCAAAATCCCCTGCATAGGATCAGCTCCTACCCTGAGTGGTTTAGTGGTAGAGGTGTGATCTGGAGATAAGCCCCAAAACGATCCTTTGAAGCCATGATAGACAATCCTGGCGATATTCAGAGTATTACGCAATAGATCCTTAGTCATTGTTATCTAAAACCATTCCCCATGACAGGTTTAGTTGAAATGTTGTTAGGGAACGATAGTGGACCGGCACAAAGTCGGGGTCGATACAGAGGACGTGATTGATACACAAAGACGGCACTATAGTGTAATTATGCTTCCTGAAGGATAAATTGCAATTTACAAAGAAGCAAACAAAAAAGCTGGGAAGATTTTCACCCCGAGATTTTCTCAGATTTAAATGTATTGCAGGGTTTACAGCCGCCTGCACAAGCCCATAGGGCGCCAAATCAGGATAATGAGATCAAATCAAGTCTTTCAGATATAAATGATCAACTTCATTATTCTGAGCAAATGTACCAATTAGTTTAGATTTTTTTATTATAATCCCTTCCGTGTCTAAACGATGGGGGAGTTTGTGAATCTAACTAAAGATTCTAATTATATTTGAGAAATTTGACTTTAAGATATGCCAAAATTTGTTCTTATAGATATTGGGGGGTAAGGGACTAAATGTACCGATGTTTGGGACGAGGTGCATAAAATTGTTAGAAATCTCGCTATACACAACATCACAATCTACCCTGGGATATATCGTGGCGTTTTTCAGCTTTTCCTATCTTATCTTTTCTAAGACATTAAGTTCTGCTCCAATAAATAACAATCATTGGTGCTTAGCCGGAACTGCAAAATCTCACATGAGTAAGTTCTGTCCCTTACCATGGGCAGAAATTTAAATATTGGAATTGGACCAGTAATATCATAATCCTCATACATCCATTAAAGTTGAGATGGTATGTCTACAATTGACCAGTCAATTTCACAACTTTATGACGATAAGAGGAACGTCCCTTCATCGAAACCTTTTGCGGTGTTTCTTAATTTGTGATTCCTTTAGATAGGTGATAAATTGGATTAGGAAGCAAAGTCGATCAAGTAAAGGGCACCAGAGCATTATTTTTCGCAGTTCCCACATCATCATTCATCACTAATGCCGTACTACTGCTAAAATATCTACCAGTCTCGTCTGGATAGTAATTACAGACTAATAATACAAGGTATATAAGATCTCCAAACGCATTACCCTTTCATTCCTTAGTAATCATTTAATACATCCCTAACTCCATTATGTTGTGGAACCAAGGACGATTGTGTTTGAAAGTGGCCCTTGTAATTAAACAGTATCCAGAATTTGTTACAATTAGGCATTCCCAATTGACGATTCCTACAATCGAGATACAGACCTGTGGTTTTACAGTTTACTAATTTCTATATCATTGATCAATATCAGTACCCAGTTATACGATAAGTGACATCAACGAAGGGGCTTCGCGTATGCAGCTTCCTAACTCATATGGACTGTGAAAGTATTGGAATAAATTAGAAAAGTCAACTTACGATATCAATGCCTGTATGGCCTCGTTAAATATCTTCAAACTAGCGCTGTAAAGGACATTATTGTCCTTGTGAGATCCAATATAGAATTCTCCATACGGCCAGAATAAAGTCTTTCTGAATTCCTTTGCAAGGTGCCGAACTTTTAGAAACTTTTTCGAGAATCTGGGCAACAATTCTTCAATGAAAGTAGACCTTTTCAATTCACCCTTTTTGAACTTGAGGATTTCCTTCGCTGTACCAGTATACCATTTTGATAGGTATTCTTTGTTCGGATTTTTCCCGTCTTCCCATCCGCAGCTTAAGCATTGCCAGAGAAGGACATAAAAGAATGACTCGAGGTCATGTCTGTACGAATGCTCCACAACCGCGCCCGTTGTTTCACAACTGCCACTCAAGACCTCCAGCGCCATGAACTCCATCGTCCCGGTCATAGCCTGCCTTTTCTCTTGAGATTTGCCATCCGTAAGTAGGACGGCTAGGTCCAGGTCAATGACAAATCCTTTCCAGTCCTTACAAGCTTCAGATCCAGTCATGATGATGTTGTTTGCTGAGATATCACGGTGCAATATCTTTGCGTCTGTCATTAACGACCAGTGCGCTTTGATCGCGTCACGTAGAACAGTAACCAGTTCAAGTGGTGATTCGACCTCGTGAAGCGATCTTCCATACGGTATTGTCGCCACAGCCGACGAGTGACGATCCCGAATCTCTGCAAACTTAACCTCAACTTCGCAATAGGCTTCCACATTGTTGGTTTCGGCCTCAACATCACCTTCACCAGCTATGAAAGGTATATCGCTGGCGTTTTCATCCTGACCAGAAACCGCACCTATTCCAGAACTATCAACAGTGGATGCTTCTCCCACTGCAGTTGAAAGATGCAATCTCTTGATCCGTCCACTGACTTCATCATTCTCTGTGCTCTTACGTTTCTCCCCGGTAGACGCTGTGTTTGCATCGTTGGTGCCTTCAGTCTTGTTCTGGACCCATGCTACAGGGATAGATGATTCATCTTCTTCGATGATCGCATTCAATGACACTGTTGATATTCCTTTCGTACCGGTGCTTCTGACATACGATGCTTGTTCGTTGTTAGTCGGTTTATCCAGATGGCATCAAAGGAATCTCTTACATCCATACGAACTCTTTGACCTCTTACTTGACCGTCCGGTCTCAGTTCCAGAATCGCTTCCTGCACTCTTTCTTTTTCGTGACCCAGCTACACTTGTACTCTTGCTTTCCCGTAACATGATGCCATCAGTAAGTGCGAGCGGTGTGGCCATGGTAGTGTCGTCCGGAAGCGTGTCTTTCACCATCTTTTTGGTGAATATCAGTCCCTGTCGAAGATCGCTAATCTTCACAAAGTCCCGCGATCCAGCAAGCTTTGCCAGCCCATCCACGTCCTTCGCAATCTTGAGCAGGTCAGCTTCCGACTTGTTCCCGCACATTCTCCAAGCGAACTTCACTGCACAGTCCCCTTCCAAGGTGTGGTAGCAGCTGGTCCCCCTCGAGACAAGAGAAGTCTGTTGCGCGACTGGCTTGGGCGATAGTTTGAACTCTCGCTGCTCCTCCGTCCCAGGAACATCCAACGTGACACAGATCTGATGAGCCTCGTATTTGATGTTTGGGTCAAGCCCAAGTTCAGTGTCGCTCATCGACATGTACGCCGCCATCACATAGACGAGCGTCTGCGGCGATTTGCCGATGTCAATGTACGAGCCGCAGTATGGTCCTGACCGATCGTAGACCCAGAGCAGAAGTGACTTATCGAAAAGGTGGAATGCATGGGCGAACCGTCGAAGGGGCTGGGCGAAAAAGAGCTCACGCATCAATATCGATAGCTGGAGAAACTTATCCATGAACACATTTGTTTTGGATTCTGTAAACTCTCCGACCACCAGTACATCACGCCAATGGTGTCGATTGGACGTGGGCAGTCCCCGTCGCTTGATGAAATAGTCGACTTGTCTGATTGTTTGACCACCATCAAATTCATGGGCATTGGCTGTGTTGAACTGGCTCTTGGTGATATGGTGTACATCTCCGCCGGTCTTTGAGCTTGATGCCGACGTCGAGATGTCGCAAGTCTTGCTGGATTGGTCGAATATTTTGGTTTCAACTGCTTTCATCCAGTTATAAACCAACTTTTCCTTTGGATGAGCAGGAAACTTCAAATCTTCTTCCCCGGACCGCTTCACGAATTCCTTGGCAAGGTCGATGCAATGATCCTCCCAAGTTTTGTTTGTAAAATATTTTTTCCAAAATCTCTGGACGTTCATGAACACAGAGCCATGCAGCTCCCTACGAAGCAGCTCTTTCAATTCTTCCAATTTCAGATCTTTACTTGCTTGTGTAGTAGCTGCACGCCTGAAAACCGATTCAGCCGCGATATTTTTCTCTTTCTCCTCCTTTTCCTCTTGGGATGCTAAAATAGACTCAAGCGTATCGAGAAGCTGCAAGAGAGATTTCCACACCTCAATGTCCGTGGCATTTGATAGGATAAGTGACGCCAGAGGTTCGAACGGAGCCAAGTCAAATGGAGTAGACTCAATCCGGTAGCTGAGCTTGATAAGTCGGGACTCAATATTACTTGTATCATCGGGTAAAAATTGTGCGCGGTGAATATAGTCAAAGAATAGTTTTATGAGGTTTCGGACATGATTTAGAAACTTCTTGGATTGTTTGGGCTTCGCAAAAACAGTCTCGCAGTTAGAATAAAAGTTTGCGTCATATCCGTCACGGAAAAAATCTAGAATTTGTTCCAATGGATGTTGTGCAAGGTATTTCTCCATTTCATTAGAGAGCGGCATGATGTACTGGTGTGGAAGCGTCGAGATATGTTTAGGAAATGAAAATAACAGTAATCGTGGTGATAATATGTTTATACCATCGTGAATTGGGAAAACCGACTTCTTTTATAATTTGAGGTTCAACGTCTTCGAAGTGCGACCCCTACATTATCCTGTAAGAGAGATAGGGAGCCATCATTAGTTTTAACTTCCTCCAACCACAGGGTTCATAAACCTCACCGCCATGATTCCTTTGACGGATGAGCTAACCCGAGACAGTATTCATGTCCGATGGTTGGTATTTAGTACCCTGTTCTGACCTCTCAATGCATGTAGGGGGAAAAGCGGGTGATCCGCGTAAATTATGCCCGTGTGTGGCTTACATTAGGGGTATTTTAATAGATGACGCGTTACACTAGGTCATGCAGTTAATGGTGGAGGGCAAGACTGAACACCTGTACGCGGTGTCCTCTACGAACCTGGGAGTGAAATATTCTCCCAGAGCCAAGCTCAGTCAAATTTCGCAATATCAAAGAAGTTGGCCCACGAGGCAAAATTTATAATTACTCTACCACGTCGTTTTTCCGCTCCCAACGAGTTTGACGTCTACCTAAGCTTTATCAAGTCTACAAGTACGACCTAGTACATCCTCATCCCAATGACCACACCTCTCTTCGACCTTCTCTGGTCTCAGTTGACCACCAAATACACGCTCACGCCGATATTTATACCCGACGGAGGAAGCAAAGCGTGGCGCACAAATCTGGGAGATAGTTCTTTGGGATGGAAGTGAGAGGATTTAGGACAAGTTCACAAGATGATGCAGAGGATGAATATAACCTTGATGGCCGTGAAATTTCGAAATTTGGCACGGTGTTTTTACAAATTGAGCTTTGTGCGTGCCTAGACTTCGCTTGCGAGAGTGCAGCTAACACTATAAACACAAGCCAACGATGGAAGGTGTCGTGGTCCGCCTCCTGGTGGTGTTCTCTGGTATGGTTTGAGTAGCCTGGGCACCTACTCCACTTGGGAAAGAGACACCAAAGACTATATTTGGCGCGGAGAATGGTGAACGGATGATGGAGGCATGTCAGGATAAATAGGGGATTGTGAGACGTTCCCCTGGGTGGGTATTCACGGATGAGGGTTGACTTGGGGTGAAGAAAAAGCCGCCATAACTTTGCAGTGGTACTTGCAAATGAAACCCGAGACATGAGTGCTCCTCCTTAACGATGAATCATCTATTCTGTACTTTTCTTTGATATTGTGTCATAGCTAGATAGCTGCACACGCAATTAAAATCTGATGCAAAAAAAAAAAGTTCGGCTAATTTGAGTATCAAATTCCCCATATATGATTGTTATCATATATCCTTCACCGAAAGTTTAATGCGCATTAGCGTTTATTTCACACTAGAATTCCAATGGATGACTATGTCTCAAATGCAGGTTATAGTTTTCTCATATCTAATACCGATACACATGTATTTAGCTTTATATTCCTGGCCCATATATGTGTATGTACATAGATCTACATCTACAGGGATCATAACTTACGATCCATGGAGATTGATAAATACTGGTCAAAAACCACAGTTGATAATATATACGAACACGCAATCTCACTTTTATCATCTCGGTTTTACTCTGAACCATACATCTAAATACAATTGTTTCCACTCGGATCTTCCTCTCACAACCTCATATAAGACTTACTGCATCGGTCTAACCGCCGACACTGATACCGCTACAACTTCCATCTTCGCTCAAGCTCATAACTTTAACACCTGAAACAAAGATACCCGCGGGCACATTTTGATAGGTCGACTCTTGTCCTTACTTAATCATTGATCCAAAGGAAGATCAAATACAAACAACTGACTAGTCTAATTTCACATTTAACGTAGACCTTCGAGGATAAAGAAGGTTCGTCACCTGTTAGCGGTGTTCATTATATACCTTGATGTGATATATTCTTCCAGAGATCAGTTAGAGAGAGAGGGCGAATTTGACAGTTTTTTTGGCAAGACGGCTTGTTACGGGTTCAATCTGGGGTTAGTTTGCCAGGATATCCCACGGGCCAAGTGTTGAATGTAAGTAATATGTAGCTCTTGTGACTGCCTCTTGCAACAGGAAAGACGCCTAGGAAGTAGCTTTGTAAGGTGTTTGTCGGGATACTTTAAATTGGCTCAGACGCAAATCGGTTATCTCTCAAGTAGAAAAATGTAAGTAATTTTGCGACTTGGCTGGTGAGCAGCTACATGGAAATCGGTCGAGTGACCTTGGTTAGATTCTAGTTGAAATTCTATCTCGCAGAGATTTTACCACCACAGAATCCAGCGAATATACACGTATACTTCAATTTCGAAATGCAGAAAGGCTTACACTTGTAAATTGTTGGTACAAAAGGAAATGAAACTTTTCAATAAATCTAATTTCCCTGGATAACCTATTCCATCAAATATTATCTTGCGACTCACCAAATCACTCCAAAAGGTGAATGTCACATTCAAAATCTAACATACAAGAGGATATCCTCCCCGACGCAACTGTGACGCGTTGTGAAAGTATGGCCGAATTACCGGCCTTATGACCGTCTACACCTCAGCCATGGGCACCTACAACCTGACCTGCGGTGAATCGCCAACTTTAAAATACGTGCGAAATCTCGCAAGCAAATTAACTATTGCATTGGACAAGGCTTGCGGTATCGGTTCGTCGTTCTCGAGCTGTTCGACCCGTACTCGGCTTTTACAGTTAGCGTTACGGCAGCGGCGCGGCGGGGTGGGGCCGGGAGGAGTGGATTTTATACAAAGATTCTGAGACGATGATAAAGACAAAGGAGTTGAGGAGGTGCTAAAGTGGATGAACTAAGCGAAGAATACCTGAGGAGGCCGCGATTGGTGATTGGATGAGGTCTTTATTGGGGAAAACAACTTGTGGATAAGATGAGGGGATGCTGGGACGAAGCATGGTTGGAACTGTATGAAATGGACAGCAAGAGAATGGCAGGGTTTCAAGAGCTCGGGCGCGTGAGGAAAATTTGAAAAATGGACAAGATGTTACTCACATTGGATACAATCACTAAAAGAAGGCTCAGGCGCGTGGTGGCTGAGGCGGAACAGAGGAAGGGAGATTGTTGAAGTTTTTCTTTTGTAATGCGGGATTTCGCGGGAAAGTTTTTGTTTTGTTTTCAATTCTGGGCTGCCAAATTTGTCATGGTTCAACACATAGATGCATTTTGGCATGGTTCCGGTCATTTAGGTGGGACGAGGCATTTGTACTGCACGGTAGTTAACCTGATCCGGCCCGACCCTACTCGTGCTCAAGCTCCAGTAGGAGTACAACGGTAGTTACTTCACCTAGCACGTTAATGAACAAACAAACGCACCATTCGAGAAATTCGTAAATTAGAAAATTCCCTATTTCACTTTTTCCATTCCTATGACCACTTCTGTGCTTGACTTCTCGAATTGTTAACCGTCGCGAGGTATTTAAAATGCCTCCGGTGAGAAAAAATCGCCCAAAGCCGACAACTTCAGCCGGCTTTGAACGGACACCATTGTGTCCAAAACCTACTGGCCTCGCGCAAAAATTATCAAGCCTATTTGCGAGTGAGGCCTTTGTCCCAGGGAAGTCCACAAATCTTCCCGATCAAGAGATGACTGATTCTGAACCGATCAGAGCAGAAAACAATGGTCCCAAGACCAAAACCCCTGTCGAACTGCCCCCTTTGGCAAGCAGCTCCAGGAAAGGAAAGGAAGTTGTTCGAGAAAAGACAACCGAACGTGCAGAATCATCTGCAGGAAACAATGCTGTGCCAGCCTCTAAAGGCGTAGCATCTACATCAGCTATGGAGTTTCCTCCGGAGCTGCAAACCGTGATGGAAGCCGAAAAGCGACGTACGACGCAAATTACGGCCCGCCTCGCCATCTGCTCGACTGCAATAAACAGTGTTGAAGCAGCACTTTCGCCTCTTTCGATCGGCGAAAATAAAGAATTCGTAGACGGTATAAAAGTCTATCTTCGAGCAGCCATCGGCCAGTTCGTACAATCTGGCCCAGGGAGCACACCACCAGTTCTCCCTGCTCGCCCCGCCAACCCACTTCCGCCGAGGGCACCAGAAATAAGGGTTCCTAACCCTCTAACAACCCAGGCTACGGCCGCAAAGACAACTTGGGCCACCGTAGCTCGGGTAGGCCTAGCCCGCAGCGCTGGGCCATTGACAAAAAAGGCAGCACCACCCGCCCCCAAGGCAAAGAGTGCCAACTCGAGGTCAAAAGCCGATTCACGACTTTTTCTGCGCCTTGACTATTTCCATCCCCACCGTCTCCTTTCTCCAGCTGGAGTAAGGCTAGCGGTGTCTCAGGCGCTGGGAACCGCTGCCAACAATATCACGTTGGTTCAGCGGGTAAAGACCGGCTTTGCAATAACCGCAAAGGATGAACTCGCTCGAACAGAGCTCCTAGATTCCTCCACATCACGGAGCGAATCTAGATTCAAACTGGAATCAGCATCAAATCTAGTTGCCATGCAAATTGCCACCGTCCCGGAGACAATTCGAACTCTTGCTGACCCAGTCGCCGTGTCGGCAAAGATGGTTGCCGATGAAGTCACGCGAGTGACTAAATCGGTTTCCTCTCTGGTTCGTCCTCATGGGTCCAGCAAACCCGGAGCGCCCTACATCAATTGGCAAGCGCTCTTTCTCCGAGAATCCGCACTTCGACCCGGATTCCGCCTTTTCGACGACTCTGGAGCAGCTAAGCTCCTCCAACCTCGTCGCAAAATCGAACAATGCAAACGGTGTCTTGAATTTCACGCCACCCGTGGTTGTTCCCGCGCTCCAGCTTGCTGGAATTGCGGATCTAATATGCACTCAGAATCAGAGTGCAAGGCCCTCACCAGGTGTCGAAACTGTGGGGGACCTCACCGATCGGATTCCCGGGCCTGCTTAGCCAGACCCAGCAAGTCCGGACCGGTGACAAAAGAGCAGCTCGCGCGGAT